AAACAGATTCAAAATGTACCAAATCAGTTTCAAATTGTTTTTGCATCAAATCTAAATTGGATTCAGATTCGGATCAGATCAGATCAAATCAAATCAAATTCAGATTTGGATCAGATCGAATCAAATCAAATTTGAATTTAGATCGGATCGAATCAAATCAAATTTGGATTCAGATCAGATTGAATTGAATCAAATTCGGATTCGGATTAGATCGAATCAAATCAAATTCAGATTTGAATCAGATCAAATCAAATCAAATTCAGATTCAAATCGGATCGGATCAAACTGTTATGGTTTCAAATTGGATCAGATCAGTTTAAAATTAATCAGATCCATATCTGATTTGTATTCATAAAAATCGGATCAGATTGAATCTAGTTAAAATTCAATCTGATTTGATCTGTTGTGATCACTAATTACAAGTATTAAAATTAATCAAAGATATAGAAATAATCTTCTATAGTTGAAAATAAAATAATGTCTTTAATTGGAATATCAGAAACAGTTCAATTAAAGATTATCTGACAACAAATTAATATAGTAAAGCCATTCTATCACTCAAATACAATAAGTTAATATATATGGATCAGCTTATCAACTATAAAACTAGAGAAGTATAGGACTGGTAAATGCTTAAACTCTTACAAGAGACAAAGTAAGGGATTTATTCCAGAATAGTATTTGTCAATAACAAAAAAAATGTAAAAAAACAAGCTAGGATAGCTCATAAGGTCTTGGAAAGAAAATCAGTTAAAGTGAATTTCAGAACATCTAATACTCAATTTCAATCTCAATAAAAGGCAAAAACTTTAGGTAGTCATCAAGAGCAATAATCTGTGTAACAATTGATTTGAGAGAAGTTGATTTTAGGTAACAATAAAAGATATATTAAAATAGATCATTTCAAATATAACAGCTTCAAGAAAAAATTAAAATCAAACCTAATGTGATACCAGGATTGCTTAGAAGGGATCAAGGCCGAAAACTGATATATAGTAGAATCAAATATAGAACAAACATATATAATTCCTTATTTTAATACTAGAAAATTTATAAAGAGAGCTTAACTTTTAAAAATCTCTTATTCTAAGGTGGCTCTAGAGAGAACAATAAGTAGAACAATTTATATAGATTCAATAACTACACAATGTAATAGAAAACAACTGGAAGAAGTAAAGATAAAAGATTGAAAAGAAAGCTTATTAAAGAGAATATTAAAGAAAGTACATATTAAATATATCTGATTGAAATATTCAGATATAACAAGAGAAATAATAGTAATAATATAATGACCTTTTACTCTAACAGATCCTTTGTTGATCACAGAAATGAAAATATAAAGATGAATGTGGTATGGATACAAATTGGAGAAGCAGGAAGGGAAAGCAAGCTTTAAGCAAAGTAGTTAATTGATCTTCATTTATAAGAGTAGAATCAATAACGATAATAATTATACTATTAGTAGTACTAGTTAATAGTAAAGTCAAGATTCACACTGACAGTCAATCCTACATTTTCAAATAGAAAACTATAGAAAAGAGAAATTCCAATAAAACTTACAAAAGATAGTTAAAAGAACAAAATTGGTTCTTGTAAATACAAATGTTAAGCCTAGTAAAAAAAAAAAAATTAGATCTAGATCTTATTAAGATTAAAGTACACACCAATATTCAATACAATGAGAAAATAAACACTTTAGTCAAAGAAGCATTAAAGTTCTTAATATTAGAATAACAAGATCTGAACTTACTTAAGATTATTATCAAAATCAAGTGACAAGATATATTGCTGGATACTTCGATAAGATAGTTTGTTAAAAAAACCAATGTCAAAATAATGATATACCAATGGATAACTCAAAATAAAATAGAAGTCATCAAATTCAAGATCAGTACAAGCATACATAGGATTTAGTTTGAAAACAAATGAATAATAGGCATATATGGAATATCTTTTTTAAAGGATTATAAAGAAAAAGCTTTCTTATTAAGATGACTAGTAATAAGCTACTCATGTTAATAAAACTAGCTACAAGAAAATCAAACTTATATAAGTAAATGAAATGTCTCGTATATAAATAGTAAGAAGAGACAATAAAATACTTGTTAGAATATCTAGCATACAAAACTCAGTAGTAAAAAGTCTGATAAAAGTATATAGAAGATATGATGCAAGATTTTAACAAACTTTTAGTAAATAGAAAAAAGGTGAAAAAAAAAAGAGATAAGTCTGATAGTTGATAATAGAATGAAAAGAAAAAAAATAGATAAGAAAATAGTTCAATTAATAGAAAGGATCTCAAATACTGATCGGAATATAATTAGCTTTTGCATAAAACTAATTAAAAAAGATTTAATAGATAAGATAGTAGACTTGAAGTACCATGGAAAGAGAATCGATAAAGAAGCAAGAAAGTGGATAATAAAGATGTAGAAGAAAACACGTAATTACTTTAGAAAGAAAATTTAAAATGTTAGATATAAGAAGGTGATAGAGTGAGAATGGATATTGGAAATCAATAAAGGTGATAAGATCAAAAAGCTGATATATTTACAGAGCCAAAAAAACAAGATCAAGATATTAAGAAATTGATTATATCAAGTATCATTAAGAAAAGAAGAATTAGAAAACATGATATTCAAACAGATTCTGTGAGATGGGATAAAATATGGAATGAAATGGTTGGATTTTAATATTTGTTAAAACTCAAATAAGTAATTTATAGTAGTGATTTGCAGACAATAATGTTAGAAGTTGGAAGGATGTTTACTTGAACTTCTAATGAACAATAAATTACTTCTGAAGTTACATTTAGAAAGATAAAACAATCAAGATGAGTTAGTAGTTAAAAAATTAGTTTTAGCATCTTATGTTATATATACAGCTTAAAATGTTTAATAAAACATATGTAACTAGCCTGACAGAGGGCAAAAAAAAAAAAAAAAAAAAAAAAAAAAAAATTAATTAATGTTTTATTTATATCAAATTATATAGTAAAAATTGATTGAGGATTTATTTATATCATTAATATATCAAATTATTTATTTTTTTGTTAAATATATATAAGTGATATTATGTTAAATAAAATTTTTCAACTAATATAAAAAGGAAATCACCATTAATACAAAATTTATTAAAGATTCTATATAATTATTTTATAGGCAAATTGTAATAAATCATATAAAAAAAGTGATCTAATAAAATGAGATAATATCAAAATTTTATATACGTATTTTGTAGATATATTGTAATAAGTAGTATAAAAAGAATATTTAATAGAATAGAATATTAAAAGAAATCTTAAATTAAAAAATTAAATATAATATGATTATTTGTTAAAATGATTTGAACATAATATAGAAAGATAGTAAGGTTTTTTTTCAATAACATGTTATATAAAACTAGCAAAATAAATTTATTAGTATATTGGTGAAAAACCTTCAAAGAGTATATACTGTAAGTCACAAGAACATAAATAAAATAAAATCCTGAGAACATCAATAAGTTCAATAAACTAGATCTCTATTAATTCTTGTTAAAAAAAAAAAAAATGTATAAAAAAAATTACAGTATTCGAAAATTCTTTATATAATATATTACCATCTTTAATGTAATTAATTAATTTTAAATTCTTAAATACACATGCAAATTTTTATTAAAAAATTGACATTAATACTGCTCGGTTAATTAAAAAAAAAGTTGATCACAGATTCTGGAATTAATTTAATTTTTTTTTTTTCAATAGTCTAAAACTTTAATTAAATTAATCGTTCGAGTTACGTTTAACAAATGCGTTTATATAATTTCATGTAATAATAACAAATAAACAATCAGTGTCGCTTTTTCATTAGAGAGAGTTTAAATTAAGTGTATTTACTGTATTATATATAGATAGATTGTCGTATTAGTAATGTTCAAACAAGGTGTTGTTGATCCATCGATGATAATATTGTCGCAAAAGATTTTTTACGGCAAATTTAAAAATTCGAATTTGATTTACTACCCGAAAAAAAAAAAAAAAAAGAATTTATCAAATCGAGTAATTGCTTCGAAGATTTCGTAGAAAAGAATCAAATCGTACTAAATAAATAAATAAATAATTGCAACAACGGAATTATTTTGATGGCCAATGGTGAATTCTCGGCACCATGACAGCAATCCTTTGAAACCACAATTGGTTCCTATAATTTATAATCGCAGTCACATGGCTTCGCAAACTGTTGGTGGCTTAGCGAATACGTGTACTCTAACGAACATACTAAATAGAAACAGGAATAACATTCTAACTTCTTCAGTTCTTCGACTTCGCATTAGTTGTCGACTAAGGACTATAGTATGTATATTCTTATATTTTATAGCATAATACGTTGATATAAAAAAAACTTATAAACCGAACGGAGGGAAGAGAAACGATCTTAAATTTATTGATATACAAGGTTGGCAAACGACCGTAAGAATCTTGGTAGCCAATGCTGGCGATGGTAGCGTCCACTTCGTCTTCATCTCTTGTTTCTCAGGAGAGTTATCCAACACTTTCCAATGCTACACCATCAGAATCGTCGTCTAATGCAGTGACTGGCGACAGTAATGTTAATAGCAATAGTATTTTACTTACCACGCCATCCCCAACGACGCCTCCCTCGTACTCTTTATTACATTACTGGACATTACTAAGCACTTATATAGTAAATATTTTCAGTAAAACAACTGTACGGCATTCCACTGGCGAGCATGCATACATGGTACAGGGAACAATATCGCCGCCGGACACGAATAATAATAACAATAATAGCATTAATAATAGCAGCAATATAAATCCATCACAACCGTCACTACGTCGTTCCCCAAGATTTAAAAGACAATTGCCACAACCGATCTCTTCTTCAATTGATAGCACTTATCCGCAAAGATCAGTCAATTCGACACTACGAGTGAAAAACAACAAAGTTCATCAAACATCAATGACATCATCATCATCAGCGTCATCATCATTCTCCTTGATGAAAACAAAAACACTTATTTTGGACTTGGACGAAACGCTTATACATTCGACTTCCAGGGGATCACGAGCTGATGCGCACATGATAGAAGTTATGGTAGATAATCACGCTTGCCTGTATTATGTTTACAAGAGACCACACGTGGACCATTTCCTGAAAAAGGTACGAAGTTGATATCTTTTTAAGGGCGAAGAGAAAAGGGTTGACCATTTATTCATTCATTAACCAACAAAATCGCCAGGTCAGCGAATGGTATAAGGTGGTAATCTTCACAGCCTCTATGCCAGAATATGCCGACCCGGTGATTGACTGGCTCGATCCAAACAAAAATTTGATATCGCGAAGATTTTTTCGCCAGGTACAAAAATTGTTTACATGACTCTAATCGTAAATAACCGATATACATAATAACCATGTCACACCTACTATTTCATGGACCGTCAGTCTTGCACCAATCGAAACGGAGCGTACATCAAGGACCTGACGATTGTTGAACCCGACCTTTCGAAAGTATGCATAGTTGACAATTCACCGATCTCCTACTCGATGCATCAAGGTAAGAAAATCTATGTCCGTTTCTTGTCACGAGAGAAAACATTGGTTGAGCTTTTTTTTTTTTTTTTTTTTTTTTTTTTTGCTTTATTTTTGCGTAGAAAATGGGATACCTATTGAAGGCTGGATTAGCGACCAGCGCGATGAAGCACTATTAGATTTGCTACCGTTCCTGGATGCATTAAGATTCACCGAGGACGTGAGATCCATACTTTCTTTGCAGATTTATTGATGGACAAGGGATCTGAGAAGCGAACAATTAGAATATTGTGTTGTAAAGTCATATGCGAATACCCTAATTTCTTTGCACCGTTTTATAGCAGATTGAGGTGCGAGAGGAAAAAAAAAAAAAAAGAAAAAACAAAAAAAAATAACAACGGTTTTTAAAAGAAAAAATCTTTTTTTTTTTTATGATAATGATAATGGTATATATATATATTTATTTATTGCTTGCAATTAATGACGCTCCTCTTTGCTATTATCGGAAAGTCATAGACGAGGAACCATTAGAATAAAATCATTAGACGGCGGGACCATCATGAAATTAAACAAGCGTGCTTGTATTTATATTCAAAAAAAAAAAAACTTTTAAATATAATTAATTCAGTCGTAATTTATTGGCCGTAGACATGAGCATATAAGTGATATCCAATTATTCTACTTTCAGGATTCGCTTCTGAGGCAGCTATCTATCCAAATGACCATGGTGCCCTAGTAACGGTCACACTTTAAAGCTTTATGCTTGTTCACCCGACATCCGAAATCGGTTGTTAATTTTAAAAATTGAATCGCGAAGGAAAAAAAAAGTGAAATAAAATAAAATAAGATAAATAAAGTGAATAAATAAAATAAATAATAAGGAAAACCCATTTAAGTTAATCAGGTGAAGATTTAAGTGTGCAGGCACAGCCAGCCCACTCCGATACCAATCCTCAATCATGAGAAACCCCGTCATAAGATAGATTGGATAACGAAATCAACAATGTGGTTATAACATGACGCCAGAGTTTGTGCTTTTCTTTTTTTTTCTTCTTGCTTTCTGTCACGCAGTTCAATTACCATTGGCCAATAATTGTTTTATGTTTTTCGGCGTGGAGGGGTCATTCAGATGTTTGGTGTTGAAACGTAAGGCGGACATCAAATTTGAGTATTCGCTTGCACTATACGTTTGGATAGCCTTCACAGATAATTTTATCTATCGATTGAAAATTTTGGTTGGCGTCAGACTCGATAATTTCACGAATAAAGACAAAGCACATAATCACCGACTTACATTGATGGGTGATTGTTTAACAAAAACTCCTCGTTGATCGATGTGATCATATAAAATAATAGATGCGACCATCACTCTTAAGCAAAATGCGGTTGTCTCGGGGCGATTTGTTCTAAATTAAATCGTTAAATCAATTTCATTGCTTGCAGAATTCGGGAGAAATTCCAACGGTAAAATGTCTATACCTTTTCTTCACGACAGCATGGTAGCATCCGGCAGCTAATGAGGACAGACATTCTAATACACTTCGGTCGAGGTTATTCTGTTGTGACAAAAAACGAATAAAGGGATGAGATTTACCATTATTATTGATATTATGCTTTTTTTTCTTTCGAATTTTCTTCATCACTAAATCTTTTTCCTTTTCTTTTTTTTTTTTCCCTCCCTTTTCACTTCACTTCCTTCTTTCCTCCCCTCCTCTATTTTTATATTTACCTTTGCAAAGAGGGCAGATGCGTCCGTGACGGTCTTTAACATCGGTGTCGGGCATGCATAAAATAATGCAATCCGGTTTGCCAATTCATCTTCGATCATGTCGGTCCTCAAATCTGTCTAAAGGTTGTAAACGAAATGGCTCAATTGAGATGTTTAAAGATATGTGCTCGAGCGTACAAATACTAACTTCGCTTGCAAGTCTTCCTCGGCTCAGTGTTCGTCGGTAGTACGAAAAGTCGTTTTGAATAGATGGAGTCTTCATCTACAAAAGTTATAAAAAAAAAAAAACGTGTTAAGCCTCGTATAACAAAATCGATTTGTGGCAATGAGCATTAAAGGGTGGCATCGGTAACCTTCAAATAATCAAATTCAAAGGCAAAATCAAATAGGTCGGCTAGTGCTTTTGTGATCGATTGGTTTTGTTCAAAGTTTTTTCGTACATCTCCTTCGCAAAGTGTTTTTAACAGTTCAGGTATGGCTTCCTCTGTTGAAGTGGCAATCATTAGTAAGGCTCCCCTTGTAGACATTTGGTGATGTAAATTGTAATTGCGATTCATGCTTACCAAGGGAGGACGAATATTCGAAGTATTGTTTCAACTTTGCGACCGCTGGTTGAACAGCTTGCCATGCTTCCTCTTGACTGTCTTCGGTGGGATTGGATATTGCTTTCCTAATCAAATCTCCGCAGCCTTCGTAGCGCCGCAATGAATCCAAGAGCTCATCGGTGGAAAGGAGAAGCTCGGGGACACGACTGTGGAGACTTAATTCGGCTTCTGTCGGTACCGAATCTATTGATTGATGAGGGAAGAAGTATTAATTAAGAGTGCCTTTGTTTTCTCGAGATGTGCAGCGGTGCGTCACTTGCTTTCAGGGTTAAAAACCACATCCGGTATTGTCGAGTCTCCGCCTCCTCTACCCAAGAGTGACAATAATCCGCCCATTTTTTTGATGTTGGTCGTTCACAATTGAGAATGTGTTGTTTCTGGTTTCGAAATTAGGTGGTAGGTGTGTGTAATAATATCTGGTTATACGTCTCGTCGATTTTTACTTGTCGACCGTCGGATGGTAGGAATTTGAGGAAATTGAAAATAGGAGTCGTTAAGCGTATCACCAAAGGTTCGTCAGACCAATGGGAGTGAGACCGGAAAAGTAAAGGAAGTGAAGGAATGGAGATTTCGATGGTAAACAAGAAAATACGTATTTCCTCAAAAGAAGGAATTTTTCTCAGGCGGTTAGCAACAACTACGTCTTCTGAACACAAACACATCCTTTAAATTTTAATTTTTCATGTCGTGCGTACGTGCGTATTTTTACAATTATCCAGTATAAACTTACGCACGTAATGATTGGTGTGAAATTGTGCACAAAATGTTCACGTCATTTTTTTCGGTGATAATTTTTTATCATACTGACAACAGTAAAAAATTGATGATTTCGGAGTCACTGATATAACCAACCACCACTCTCAAACTTGGTTTTGCTCTTATGTTCGGTCTCCTCTCTCGTTCTGGTAATCTGAGAAGATTAGTTGCACTTGTTCCAAAGAGTCAAGGTAACCATAAAAATCACTTTGGCGAAGTCCGCCAGAAAATACAATTCGACAAACACTCCTACCTTTCTTTTAAAATAAGGAGCACGGCGTTTCTCCCGAAGTGCACCTAGAAGCCAAGAGGTAGAAGTATTCGTAGATGGAAAACCCATATCAATCGAGCAGGGAAGTGCGGTCATTCAAGCATGTGAAAAAGCCGGGTTTACCATTCCTCGTTTTTGCTATCATGAGGTCGGTTACAATTATTGACAATCTTCCAATAAAAAAAAAAATTAAAATAATAATAATAATAATGATAACAACAATAATAATAATTGTCCTTAAACTTTTTGTTAATTAGCGACTTTCCATTGCCGGCAATTGTCGAATGTGTCTTGTAGAATTGGAGAAATCGCCTAAACCGGTTGCCTCTTGCGCAATGCCTGTTCTACCCGGTATGAAGATCAAGACGGACACCCCGCTCGTCAAGAGGGCTCGTGAAGGTGTGATGGAATTTTTGTTGGCCAATCACCCGCTGGACTGTCCTATATGCGACCAAGGTGGTGAATGCGATTTACAAGATCAATCTGTTAGATATGGCAGTGATCGAGGAAGATTTCATGAAATCAGTGGAAAGAGAGCTGTGGACGACAAGAATTTTGGACCTTTGATAAAAACCTCCATGAATAGATGTATTCATTGCACACGGTGCGTACGCTTCGCCA